AAAAGGGATTGTGTAAAATCATATTAGTGCAAAATGATGCCTTCCAGAATCCTTGGAGCCAGAAAGACCTGGAATGAACTTACATCCTCCCTTGTCTTTTCACCTCCCTCCCTGCAGATCGCCCCTATGTCCACCCCTCAAATAGATTTTATTGCTTCATGGAAATGATTTTGAGTTATGATTCTGTTCTTCTCTTGCAGAACTCAGAGAAAGTGAAAGGAAACTGTGTCAGAAAGCTACTTTTAAAAGAAATGTATCTGGTGTTTTCCTTAAGTTTGGAATTATTCTGGAGGAAAAAAAACTTTTAAGATTTCAATTCCTTTTCGGTAGGCACTAAACTGTGTTGGGAAAACAATGACTACATTATAGAAGAGATAATTCCAATGATAATAAAGATTTGGGGGGAGAAAAGAAGAAAAAAATAACTAACAAGGGAGAGTGGCCCGTTGTTTCTATTTTTTCCTCATGTTTAAGACCAGTTGAAATTATGTACATTCTGAAATGAGACAAACAAAATGTATCATAGTTTCATGGCTCTCACATTACCCCCCTGAAACGAAGGAAATATTTGGAGTTGTACCTAAAATTTCTATTGCTGGAAGATTTTAGAAAGCCAGTACGTTTCAGCCTTTCAAAGGAAAACTTGGGGGGTTTTCGAGGCTGTTTTAAAACTGGCAAGTTACCAACTCTGGCTATCAATACAAATCTGGGGCAGGAAGTACTAAGGAAATTCTAAACCTGTTCCTTCCCTTTGCAAGATTTTCTACATTTTCATGTGCACGAAGTGTGTTAAGAGGCTGTTTTGCTTTGCTTTTGAAGGAGCTGTGCATTCACGTCCTTAAGAATGTCCTTTGCCCCACAGGAGCCTCTCTTCCCTTCCTACTCCTCAGTCTGTGGGTCCCAGTGTTTGTTCTTTCCATGGCACAATCAGCTGGGCTCCAGCTAGACTTTCAGAGATAGGCGGCAGTCCAGGCTGCACATGGTTGGAAATGCAGCCTGAATCATTGTGCAGTTGATGAATTACTCCTTCCACCTGACCCCAATTTCACACCAGGCTCTCCATACAATCTGAGGACCAAGAGCCAGAGAAATCCTCTCAGGGTCCCATAGTCTGAACCCCTTACTTCAAGATCTTCTGGAGAAGCAGGTGACCATGAAAGAGAGTCAGCAGACTGATGTAAGAGCAGTGTGGTTAGGTATGGGCACTGGTTTGGGAGAAGCATGGTGACCTGGTAAAGGGATGGGAATGGAAGAAAGGACAAGATTCTTGTCTGTGCGTGGGCAAATTTGAAAGTTTTATGAAGACGACTAACATCTTCCAAATAATCACTTTGAGAGAAATATTGATAGAAATAGTTATTTCTCAAATGGCACAATACCATTTCACCAGGCTGTGACCATGTTTTACTATTTTAGCTTTCCTAGTTCAACTAGTTTGTTTTTCCAAGAACCACCCCCCTTCACCAAAGTACTTGAAATTCAGACTGAAATTCACCCTGGGTCTCATAATGTAATAGCAACAGGTTAGTTGCTTTAAATGGACTACAACAAAATTCTGAGATACATTAGATTACAACTCAATCAAACATCATTACATGTATTATTATTAAATCAATAAACTTTTTAGGGTTCCCTTCCTCTAAAACTTGCTGATGATTCTGGGTGGCCTTCCAACAGCAAATTTATTTTGGTGATACTCTCTTTTTTTAACCTAGTTATGTCTCCTATTTAAATATTATGACATGTCATTGAGATTTCTTCATTATTTCTTAACCAAAGGCAATGTTTCCTTTTGAAATTACTCCTTTTGGTAGGAAAAAAAGTTGTTCAAAAAGAAAATTAGTAATGACAGCTTTTAATGAGAAATCTAGGAGACTAAACATACTGTCAAGGTACAGCCAGTTCCATGTCAGCTACTGGGTTTTCAATTAATTTAACTTACACATACATTTTTCTAGTATCACCTTTTTAAGCATTTGGAAAATTATCCAGAGACAACATCCAAAATATCTTATTTCTAATTTGTTTTTGTTTTTAAGCAACAAAGTTATCAGACTGGTACTAATGTAATGGGAAATAAAAGGCACACAGAAGGCAGGGATGTGTCAGAAGTTTTGCTGAAACTTTCATTGCATTTGAGGAAACTGAAAATATTTGCATTTATTTTAAAATTCCACTTTCATTTTGCTTGTATCATGAAAAAAGAGCAGCTGTATGTTATACACATATTTAAGTAGAAAGGGAAGGTTCAGTGTTTTTGCATTTTCTGAATGAAAATACTAGTAAACATTTCAGTTCTTTAAAATCCCATGAAGATTTTTCTACCCAGAACTAATGTCAGCAAATAGCTTTTGTGGATTAGTTCAAAAAAATTTGAATTTAGAGAACAATGTAAGGTGTGATATCACCAGAATGACTTTTGTTGTCAACCAAACAATTCTATTTTTATCAACCATAAGGATACTTTATATGTCAGCATCATTTTAGATAGCTATGATTTTAAAATTGGATAACTGTAAGCCAAACCTAGGATAATGAATTTTATGAATTCTACCTAGGCTTATCAAGTAGACATAAGCAGCATGTATTTCTTTCAAAATTATTATGGATCATATTTTGAGATATGTCTAAATGGACAAAGAATGATACTGAAATAATTTCATTTTTATGTTATACTGGGACATGATAGTAACTTATGACATAGTATTAACACTGTCAGAGATTCCCCACACTTTAAAATATGATTGCACATTACCCCTTCATCCTATTTCCTGTGTGACCAATTCTCAAAGTCTCAAAACAGGGCACCTTTTCACATCTTCAGCTTCCAGGAATGCTATTAACGTCTGTCATTTCAGAGACACCATAACAATATTCAACAACTTCACAGCACTGTCGAAATTTGACAACATGATAGTCAATATGAACTACCATGACAGCCCAAGTAGCTGATCTTACATTCCTTACCACCCTGATCTGATTACCCGAATATCAGCTTAGGTCACCTAATGGATCTAACTTCTTTAAAAATGTTCCAGAAGTTGATGGCTTTGACTAGCTTGAAAGTAACAAGATCCAGATGTCACTTGTCTACACAACACTAAGCTACACAGGACCCCAAAACAGATTAAAAAAAAAAAAATAAAAAAAAAAAAAGCTCCCTTTGTATTTGTCAGGCTCTCTGATTTTCCCGCACACTTCCACTTTCCCTCTTTACCCTAATCTCTCTCACACACACACACACACACACACACACACACACACACACACACACACTTCCCACCAGTGTGGCTCATCCACCATCCTGTCTTTAATATTATGGGCATGGCATTATTTCCTGCTAGTAATCAGATAAAAGAAATCTCAGGCAGAAAAGCAATTATTCCGTTCAACATGATCTAAAGTTTCTTTTCTGAATATACTTCATAGCAGAAAACAAGGACCAAAAAGAAAGCATGAATTTTGAAACATTTGGAAAAATTTAGCCAAATGAGTAAAAAGGATGGAATGTCTGATATTTTTCATGCAACCCTGGAGTTCGTTGTTTTTGCTTCTTTGAGGGATGAGAAATGACTATAAATTTCCCCTTTTTAGCTTGTCCTTGCTTTGCTACTTCCTTGAGGAAGGCAAGCAGCGTGCTCTACCCAATCCCCCAAAGAGTTAAACCTCAAGGCACTGGAGCAGGAGGGCTGGTCTATTTAAGCAGGAGCAGCACAAACTAAATGCTCACAAAGGCAAAAAGCAATGTGAGTCGACCTTGGAGGGGCAGGGTGAAATCACAGTGCAATTGAGAAAGAAAGAAAAAGCAACAATCTTGAACATAATACTGCAAGTTGGCTGCCTGGTCTGGTTTACAAGTAGGCATTGTTTGATGAGACAGAATAAATGAGAGATAACTACAGCAGGAATTAACAAACCCTAATTACATCAACCAGTCCTGGTGACAGCACAGTTCACTCAGGCGTGCCTTGTTCCCTCTCGGTATATTTTTTTATTTATTAAGAAGACGGTGGAGTCTGGCTAGTGCAATACAAAACAGTTGTTTCTGCAAAGAAACATAATCCATGCGTTCAAGGTGGTAATTCTACCAACATTCCCCCTCCTCCCCATCAAGTCCAATTTAATTGACAAATTGGGGTGGTGATTTCACACCTGAGAGTCTTTCATGTCTGAACTGCAGGATAAAGTTCATGGCTGGTACTGCCCTCTGCTTAGTTACATGGGCTTGCCACTGGCCCCCCTTATGATTGTTGGAGCACACACATAAAGCCCAAAGTATTTAACCAGTTCATGTCCAATTAGCATCAGTTATGTTTCATTCCATTTTAAGACCCAGGCCTCCTGATGGCAGCTAACACAGAAAACAGAGCTTCTAAAAGTACAGAACATCTATCGTAAAGCTTCTAAATTCAGTCTCTGGCAACCTGATCATCCTTAATATAAATTAAAATAGGCAAGGCAAATAAGTAAAAACAAAAATGCACCCAACAAACTCTAAGAGACTTTGGTTAGCCGCCCTCTACCTTTCCACACCCTTCTTTCATTCTATACTCAGCGATTAAAACTTTGAGCTCCCCACCCTGGCTGTCCTATCCAGTAGGGAAGAATATTTCAGAGCCACAAACAAAGAACAGCTCACCAGAAAAGTCCCTGAAATTGTAGTCTTGTGCCTGATAACCACTGTTAAGATCTCCTTTCTAACAGCCCTGCCCATCTGCAAAGGACTTGACCGAGATCAGGAACATTTAATGCTCCCAAGTAACAACAAAGGAACTAGAGTGAAACTGTTCTCTCTCCTTAAAAGAGAAAGCCACAATCCTCGCTGGTTTTCTGCTTATATTATCCTCTGCCTCATTAACTCCATTGGTATGTTACTAATTTCAGGGAAGAAGGAAGAGGTGATAGGGGTGGGGGGGTGAAATAATAATTGCCTTGCCTGTTTCCCATCCCAAGTGCAGAAGGATACGACACTGATTGCCAGACTGGGGGTCGAGCCATACCTTGGTTTGGAGATACTGAGGATAGTAGTAAGTGTACTGGGGGTACATTTGTGGCTGATCCAGGCGTTTGCCCATGTAGCTGGAATCCTGATCTCCGAGGCAGGGAACTGGATGACAGGGTATAGTGCCCCAGGCCGAGCTTCCTCTTAAACCACTATTCCTGACAGTCCCAATGACTGATGAGGCTTCGGAGAATCCTCGTCTTCCACCACTCGCTAGTTCCAACACAGCAAGAATGTAAAAAAGAAACACACCAAAAAAAAAAAAAAAAAGGACGGGGGATCGGTAGGGGAAAAAAACCCCCCACACAGCCTCCCCAGATCTTGCCTGCCTTCCCCCAGCTGTTGGGGTCCACTTGGGACCAGGCAGTTTGTTCCCTACCAGGCTGTCTGTAGTGATGTCAATTGCCAGCGTTTGTAAAAGGGGAAAAAAAAAAATCAAAGTCCTTTTAACACAACTCCGAATCCTTGCAAATCAGCTTCCTGTCTCCTGTTTGTTTCTTTCTCCACCTTAAAGAAAAGGGGGGAAAAAAAAAAGAAAGAAAGAAAGAGAAAGTAGAAAAGGAAAACAGAAAAAAAAAGAAAGAAAAAGAAAAGGGGAAAGAAAAAGAAAAAAAAGGGGGAAAAAAAAAACCTTGCCCAGCTTAGTTGCTGCTGTCTCCCTCCCAGAGTGACATGGTGTTCGGGGCTTGTCCTGTCCTTTCATTCACTTCCCCTCCTTCCAGCCGGTGGGTGGAACCGAGAGAGCCTCTCCAGGGAGCAGCGTACGCAGTCCAGAAGGCTGCAGTATTTCCTCCAAGAAAAAAAAAATAATAAAGGCTGCTTCAGCCCCTGCTGCACGCAAAGTTCCGATTCCCTCTGCTGGCTATCTCGAAAAGCAGAGCGATTCTCGCAGCGAAGCTGTTGCCGCGGCTACTGAACCCGGGAACTCAAATGCTGGCGGTGGATTATTCCTTATCCTTCCCTCCATCTACCCCGCACAAGAGCTGCCTTCTCTTCTTTTCTTGCCAAGTTTCAAGGTAAGCCACTCTGCTGAGCAAAACACAGAAGAGCAGGGGAGGGAAGGGAGAACGGAGGGAGGAAAGACGCGAAGAGGGAAAGAATTAAGGCAGAGGGACTACCCTTGCTGGGTAAACGGAAAAAGTGCGTCCCGTGATGCTTTCAAACCCTGTTAACACATTAAAGCCAGCTGTACCCAAGACCTGGTTTAGAAATAACCTTTTACTTCTTTGAGGACATGGAGGATGCTAAATATTGAAGAAATTTGAGAGTCTGCTCCGGGATAACTATTAACAAGCTATGCATCATCAGATGGCAATGAACAACTTATTGTAGCAGAAATATTCATTCTTGTTATTACATCCATTTCATAAAAATCCAAAGAGGTATCCCCTCAGGTTTGTTTATGAGCTTCTTGATAAATAAAACCACTGTGTCTCTCATTGTCTAGCTCTTTATGATTGTTTTGATTCACGGATGCTTTAATCGTTTTACTGATAATTGTCCCAGAAAAAGAGAATAAAAATCATAATTACTTGGCAGAGTTTTTCCCCACCAATAATAAGTAATATTCTGACATGGCTATCAGCTGCTACATTGTAATACAAATTGTTTCAGAGAAAATATATTTCCTTAAAGGGTCCCTCTTCAAGACGGGAGAGGCTAAAATTAGATGTGCCAGCTGTGTTTTGCTGAGAGTGCTCACGCATGCCCAAAGCGTGGGCAGCTCAATATTGAGCTTCTCTTTACTTTGTCAGGTCGGCTCTGTTCTCTCCAGCCCAGAGTTGCCTTTGCAAATAAAAGGTCCCTGGTACGAATCCAGCTTCCCAGTTAAGAAGAACAGAGAATTGGGGCCCCATGGCCAATACAGTGCCCATCCAACCCTGGGGCAATTGGCTTTATTCAGGGGTCTGGTTATGGCAGCTGTGCACATGCGTGTTCCCTGGAGAAAGGTAAGGATGATGGGTAGTTTTATGTTTGACTTCTGACGACAATTAGAAGGCAGGCAGGAGAGAGGGAGGTTGGTAGTCAACAGCCCTGGTAGCACTGTAATTGAGAAAATTAACTCAACTTCACAAATGTTTAAATGTGTTATTCTGGGCCTCAGTGATCCCATCTAGAAAATGGAAAGACAATTTACCTAGCCAAAAGTGTTAAGCAATCAGATGCTAAATAAAAATCTCATTGATTTAAACATCCTTCAGTGGCATCTCAGACATTGCTCAGACAAAGTCCTGACTACTTGGAACAGTTTTCAAGACCTTGAAAGTCCAGCTGCTTTCTCCAGACTCGGTTACCGCTGCTCCTCACATTCTACACTTGAATCACACTGACCCGCTTTTAGGGCCGCAGTATGCTCCCTCCGGGCCTTCTACCACTCCCCATGCCCCGAGGAGTGTCCAACCCCACCTCCACGCTTGCCCTTCCCCCATCTTTCAGTTCTCAGCACGGAAAACACCCACTCAGAGTAGCTTTTCCTGAATCCCTGCTTCCCCACACCCTAGATTTGACCTAATAGAATACTTGTCCTATAGCACTCTCTATTAATTACTTACTTCTTTTCTGATGCTCTAAAAGCATCAGAAGCAGTAAAGTAGGAGAACCCATTATTTTCATTCACCTTCATATTTCCAAAAATTGTCATGGATTCTGGCTCAAAATGGGTGCTCTATAACTGTGTGAAGAATATGATATCTTCAATGTGATAAACAATTCTAACCCAGCCCATGTCCTTCTCTCAGTCCATTTCAGTTCATTTCCTGGTGCAGGGGATGGAGCAATACCCAGCCCAGAACAAGGCCCTTCCCTTGGAGAGTGTATAGTCCCATGGAGTGATAAGGTGATGAGTCAACAGGCAGTGTAACATCAGGTGATAGCGCTGCTGAGAAATATAAAGCTGAGTGAAAAGAAATCGACTTACAGGGTTTCTATTTTAAATGGGGTAGTCAGGAAATGCTCACCAAGGAAGAGCTCTGGGGTTGAGAGAAGGGTGTGGACCATGCACTGGGTGCTGGGCCACTGAGAGGCCTTAGCGTGAAGCCGTGGCTCCCACCGAAGCTGCCCTGGCTCCTGTCCTGCCCCTGCTGCCTCTCTCTGACTCCATTTCCTCAGCCCTCCTGTGTCTGCACACATCACAGAGCTGTAAGAGAATTCGTCAAGACTAACATGTGAAGCATTTATAACACCTTGGAACCTATTGAATCTGCTCAATAAATATCAGTCTGCATGTGGGGAAGAGCATCCAAGACAGAGGGAACAGCAAATACAGAAAGTCTGGCAGCAAGAATGCATCTTTGATTTGCACAAGACATGGCACAGGGACTGGAATGGAATCAACGAAGAGCCAAAACTGTAAAATGAGGCTGGAGAGGTACTGGGACCAGAGCATCTGAGTCGTGATGAGAACTTGGTGGGGAAAGCCAAATAGTGTTAATAGAACAGCCAGGACTCTCTGCTGGCTGTAGCTCTTGTCATCTTCGACTACAGAATGCTGTCCTCCTAATGTCTGATCGACATTCGTCTAAATTCTAAGACCTGTAAGATCAAGATCCTAGATTGCTTCTGCCAGTTTTTCCTCTATGGACAAAGGACATCAGTATTCTTTTATTAATAACTGACCTAGATACTCCTTGAAGGGAAAGGAATACTGTCTTATTTACCAATCAAAAGTCAAATAAATAACTCCTCAACCAAGCCACAGCCCACTTACATGTAAAGTTCCTAGCATGTGTTGCAGCTATCAGCAATTTCTACACAAATTGCCACTTTCTAAAATGCTATTTTAGTTCATGGATTATTATTATGTTCTGGGCATCAACTGTCATTAGCCTAAGAACATTCATTGAACATTTATAACTTTTCTTAAATAATACAAAGATGGCTTACCTTTCATGAGAATTGTACAATCTGTGTTTTGTTTATATATTTTGTTTTTTCCCTCAGAGATACCAGTAGCCATTGCAAGTCAGAAAGCAAGATACTCATGTCAGAAATAGCTTTTATATCATGTCAGCTCTGTGGGAACAGCAGCAATTGCTATTTAAATGATCAAGTTAAGAGATACCTAGTTGAAGGCATTCTCTAAATCAGAAGTCAGCTGTATCCCATTTGCGGACTACATCAAGCGGCATGGATTCCTGTAGATTCACCTGATCACAGTGCAAACTGGAGAGGCACTCATTTAAGACACACACTTGGCTAATAGATTAAGATGATGGCTCAGACATACCACCTGGAAGTAGAAAAGTAATGGTACTAAAATGAGGGTCATTTGGGTAAAGATGGAGACTTTCTTCTGGCTTGCCCTTGACTGATCCACTCACAGAAGAACTAGGTCCTCTTTGGGAGATTTATGTTTTAAATTACAAAGACTTAGTCAAAAGCAAAAAAGGAACAGTAAAGATGTAAGGAAAAACCATGATTGTACTATCTTTGAAAGCAAACATTCTATTCAATCTTCAAGAAAAACATTAATTGTATTTAACATAAAAATTGGTTTTTAAAAAAAAGGACAAGATAGTAGAGTACAAATTCCAACATTAAAGCAGTCTAACAACTTACCTCTCTCCTACTGGAGACTTATCAGTGGTTTAAGAAAATACCTGAGACAACTTAGGAGAAAGAATATTAGTGATTCAAGCATGTGTAGTCCAAATTTAAACTATAATCAAAGGTAAAAGTATTAATGTAGATACAGACAATAAAAATTGGCCTTGGAAGAAACTGCCAAGCCTCAGGGCAAAATTATAATGGACTATGTAATTCAAGACAGTTAATCAAGTAGAAAAGCAAGAATAATTTAAAACAATGAACATTATTAACTTCAACAAAGTTGAAGATTGAGCATCTGCTTTGTGCCTAAATAATCGAGTGAACCAATATAATAAGTATTATCACCCTTGTCCTCAAGTACACTTAGTAACTCACTCTCAAACTACCAGCCATTCATAAATGAGCTTAACATTTTTCTCATACTTGAGTACCAATTCATAACAATAGTTATTAAAAAGTTTTCTTTAAGTTAACTTCATTTTTTTCTGGAATGCATATCTTATTATAATTCCAAGCAATAATAGACATGAATGGTCAAGTTCATTTAGCTTCTATTATATAGTTTTTTAAAAAATGCACACTATCCTCTCATTCTATATACATTTTTCATAGCATTTAATGCTGTTGTAGGAACATCTGGTTCTTTTTAACCACTAAGATTACCAAGATCCACAGTTCTCCATTTCACTGAAAGTAGACAAGACTATGTGACTTGCTATAGCCAATAAAATATGAAGCAGAAGTGACATACGTAAAAGCTTTCAACGCTGCTGTTTGATCCTTCTTTCTGCCCACTCTTATTTGATGCAAGCAAGGGCCAGTATGGAGGAAGCATGTTGGAGGGTTGAGAACAGCTGCTTTGAATAGTCACCTGGACCAGCCATTGACTTTTCATGAGCAAGAAATAAACCTTTATTCTATTATACTATTGAGATTTGGTGACTCGACACAGCATCACCTAGCCCACCCTTGCCAATATGACATTATTTATAGTTTGACTCTATATTTGTTATTTTCT